CGAGTCATGAACGAAATGACTCAAAAATATTAGTATCCATCATATGGAGAAAAATCCTGTAATGTTTTCATCAAAAACCTTAATTTCTTTTCAACTGAAGAAAGAGAGACATTGACATCTTGGATGACATGGGGGTGAGTAAATTATCAGCAAACGTTTTTTTTTTATTTATTTTTTTTAGTGAACTAATCCTTTAATATCTCAGTGGCAAAGTATGTCTAGCGGTTTTCCAAAGTTACTAGCCACTCAGCATTTTTACCGGCCACAATTTTGACATCGATACCATGTGGGAAAACTGGCATGTACATATTTGTAATATTATCTCATAATTTGACAGCAGGTATATTAGGCTGCTGTCACTTTAAGACCTGACACACGGACCCATTACACTGCTACAAAGGTGTTTTGTTTTTGTTTTGTTTTGTTTTTGTTTGTTTTTTACCGTAAAAGTCTATTCATATCGAGCTTCAATCATGAAACACAGGCAGTAAATATCAAGGTAAATCATTGGTAAAACAATTCTCACGTAAACTGTCGCACTGAATTCAAAGCAACAATTTATGTGAGAATAGATGTACCAATGATTTACATAGAAATACTTCATGCTTGTGTTTCATGAATGAGGTCCACTGAGTAATTTTTTGTCGTTGTTTTATCACAAAAAGTGAAACTGCATCCCTGGAAAAAGCATTCCTGTAGACTTTATTCACAGAAAGTTCATTTCGCAGCATTTCACTGGGGGGAAAAAGGCCAATGAGATATAAGCTTTCAGGGCATGATTTAAGAAATTCATTATTATATTATATTTATTCCAATTTGTTTCCAATTTTTCAAAAACTCTCATTTTGCGCTTCACGGAAGAAAAAGTCTGATGGCTTTGAAACGACTTGGGGGTGAGTGAAGTATTCCTTTAAGGTGACCAACCATAAAACCTACTGAACACTTCCTTGGAATTGCACATTCCTACAACCTCTAACTGTTATTAGCAAAGTGCTGGTCATACTTATGGCTTTCAATTTCTATATTCAAAGTGCAAATGATAATTCATTTTTTCCCTCTCAATTTCAAGGATCATTTGCCGAGAGCATAGAGCATCCAGTATTCCTCACAGTGATGACACAGCCGGTTGCTATGGTGAGAGTCTGGTGTAAGACGTGGTAAAGGAGTCATGCTGAGAGGAAGTGACCCTATCAGCCCTCCTTACTGTCCGACTGTGCTCTGAATGTGCTTTGGGAGATTTTTGACTCTAGCAAAATCCTTTCTGTTGCAAATAAAGACAAATCCTTAAAGATATACAACTATGTGTCTAACTTAAGAATTCAAACAATCAAATTCATATAGATTTAGGACATATTATAACAAAGATTACCATTTCCAAAATCACCAGAATGCTTACACTGAGATATGACCTCCAACAGAATGAAAGCAGGCAATATATGAAAAAAATCAATAAAAACGCAATTTTGAAATAATAAAAAAACTTGCCACATAGTGAAAAAAAGTTATTCAAAGTTATTACTGAGTTAATTTTACAAAAAAAAAAAAACTTGTGAATCAGTCTACATAACAGTTTGTTTACTAGTACGAGGTAAGAGGAACACATGCCTCCACACATCTAGACACATAATAATACTCCATTCATAGGCTACTACAATTGACCCAGAATTCCCTGTGTGACACTTCACATTTGATGTATTTATGTTAAAATATCAGTGTTTTTTTTTTGTTTTTTGGTAGTTGTTTTCTAATCAGTTACTGTAGGGTTTTAAGTTTCATCAAATGTTGTTAAATTTATGTTTATTGCATATGCTTACCATGATGGAGTTTAGTATTTGAGTGAATGACGTGTGCACACCTCCTATATATTAGTAGTTTCTTCATCTTGAGGAAAAGCTGCTTTCGATTCTCTTTGATTCATCATGTGACTTTCATATCACCACCTGTTTTTGGTGGTTGTTGTCAGTGTATTACAAAAGGAACAAAACAGATAGTTGTACCTTATTAGGTTGGAATATTAACATTATATAAGTAAACAAACTATGTTTTTTACTGTAAATTTAAGTTTCATATGGAAAATCTCAAATGTAGCAACCGCATTTTAAATTTAGTGTGTATATATATATTGGATGTCTTAAAGGGTTACTCCACTGTTTGTTTTTTTCATATTAAACTATGCTATTCACTTAAGCAGAGAAACGACCAAACACCTCCATGTTTTCCCTATTTAAATACAATTACAAGAGTAGTGTAACTCGACCTAGGCCGGTGACACAAAATAAAACGTTGCACTTTTCTAAGCATGTAAAGTGGATAACTATATTGAATGGCGGAATACCATAGCAAGTGCTTGGGAGCACTTTGACTCGGCGCAGTAATATCACTCGTGAAAAGTCCTCTCCCCCCTCACACTCTCCGAAGTGATGATATCACTGCGCCGAGTCCATAGATATATGTGCGCCGAGTCAAAATGCTCCCAAGCACTTGCTATGGTATTCCGCCATACAATATAGTTATCCAATTTACACGCTTACGCCCGTTTCACACATACTCCGTTTGCAGTGCGTATGCGGTCCGTATTTTTTTCTGTACCCATGTTAACAGGTTAGAGCTTTCACACTGCACGCGGATGCAGTCCGTCGATCCGTTCCAGTTGCGGTGCGTATACAGCAGTGCAGAGATCGTTTCCGTACCGAGTCTATTTCTGCTGTGCTGCAAACGCAGAAATAAAGTGACAGCCCACGGTTCGTGGTCAAAATGAACTCAGATTGACCTCAAAATGTAGTAGTTTCACCATAAATGCATTTAATTCAATAAAATGTAGTAATCTCTCCATAAAGGTATTTAATTGTTTCATATTTTTACTTTAAGACATCATATACTAGTAATGCATGGAATTGTATGCATTCGTTGTTTAAATCGTGTTTAAACGAGCATGCGTCCATTCAAGTTTGTAAAAGAGAATCGCAAAGCCATGGCAAAACTTTTATTTTAAAAAAAGTTACTGCATATGGTTTTGATTACCAAAAACCAGGACACATGGCCCAGAAAACAAATGATACTCGAAGTTTACTCAAAGATGCCTTATTAATTTCAATACAATTAAAATAGGCTATGCCCCTTCTGTGGATAGAAAATTGTTGTATTAAGACACAAAATCAGATAGGCTTCTCAGAGGATACTCAACATGTTTTATTATGACAGGTTGGTTTAAAAAATAAAAAATGAAATAATGATTAAAAAATAATGTCTCTTCTGTATTAGAAAAATAAATATATCAATATTAATTAACTAAAAGAAATACCTTCAAATTGAACAAAAATACCTCTCACAAACGTACAAAAACGAACTCGTTTCCTTCCTCTTTATCCTGTTTTTCCTCCTCATCCTCCTTGTCTGCTCATCTCCTATTTGCTATAAAGCTGATCTTTTCCAGCGTTTTTTTTTTTTTTTAAACCAGGACATCACTTTATAAAAAACGGCCAGGAAGGACGTGAAAACAGGACTGGGATAACAGGACTGTTGGTCACTGGTCACGCTATTGCTGCATAACTTCTGATTTTGAAATAAAAATAGCGAGTGTTTGTGTACAGCTCACGCAATGCAAACGCAGCATATGTGAAAGCACTTTAGCGCGTGCGGCTCCTGTACTGGATACGCACCGCAACACTCACCGCATACGCACTGCAAACGGAGTATGTGTGAAACGGGCGTCAGACAAGCGCAACGTTTTATTTTGTGTCACGGCCTAGGTCGAGTTACACTACTCATGTAATTGTATTTAAATAGGGAAAACGTGGAGGTGTTTGGTCGCTTCTCTGCTTGGCCCATATTGAATGAACTGGGCTAAGTTAAGTGGGATCAAAATGTCTCGCGCACCAGAGCGATTGAGTGGACGCACTGAGACGAGAAAGGTACGTATCAACTCGTCTTAGTTAAGAGAATAATATAGTTTAATATGAAAAAAAACGGTGGAGTATCCCTTTAAAAGCAATGCCATCCACACCACCATGGCCCTGTCTAAAGAGTGTGTTGCTGTTGTACAGGAACAGAGAGTGTATCACAAGTGTCGATCAGAGGTTTTGAAGGCCGAGTGTGTGCCTTCAGAAGCGCTCTGGGATTCAGAGGAGGCTGGCGAGAGAGTCTCTAATCCCAGACTGGCTCATTAGTCATCTCTCTCCTTGATTAATGCATGTGTTTGTTTGTGTTGTGTGAGCCCTTCCCCTCTGCTTTCTGAAGCTACTTAATGAATAATCATTTTATATGCAAGTGCCACAAAGCCTTGATCTTCTCAATGAGGAGCAGGGAAATTGGAATGTTAGCTAATGATATGATAAAAGGAAGAGAAAGAGAGAGAGAGAGAGAAATAGAACAGATTAAACAACAAAAACAACAACATGTACAGTGTACAGTGGGGTCTTAAAGTGTAAGACCTCAATGAAAATCTAAGATTTTTCAATTCAAACCTGGAGATAAATAAAAATTATTTAAAAACAAAAGAACATGTATGGTGTAAAATGAAAGAAGAAATGGCAGATTCTGGACTATTTCTAGATCGCTAGTGATGTATACTGTAGATGGTCAGATGTGTATTTCCACTGAAGCACAAACCGCTCTTTGGATCATTCTCAAATCAGGCTGGAGAACATGATCATCTGGTTTATTACATATACATCAATGTATCATATATGCATTACTTTTTCAATTCAGCTTTCTACTTCAACTGTTATGATAATAACGTTCACATTTGTAGTGGCAGTTATGTTATTAAACTAAAAAAGAATGTAAAAAAATATAATCATTTTTTATGAGACTAGTGGTCTCACATCTTTGCTTACATTCACATTTGATCAATTCAATGCATCCCAAAAAATGTAAAGTATAAAATTCTTTAAAAAACGCCTGACCCTAAACTTTTGAAGGATATGACACACACACACACACACAAAGAGAGAGAGAGAGAGAGAGAGAGAGAGAGAGAGAGAGAGAGAGAGACTTCTTACTTGACACCAAAAGGGCCAGATTTGTTGTTGCCGGTTTCCTTGGCTGTAAAGTCCATGTCAGCCTGTACGTGCATCCCCTACAAAAACAGGTCAAATATACAGAAAACCATGAGAAACTGAAAAAAAAAAGAAAGAAAAATGACAATAAACTCCATAAGCCAAACAAATATGCAAAATTATTAACATTAATAGGATGACTCACAATGTTACTCAGAAGGTTACACTTTATTTTAAGGTGTCCGTGTCACAGTGTAATCAGGGCCTAAAACTAACACTCGTCAAGCGCCAAATGAGAGTAAAAATCAGATGGCGAGTATATGAAATTGTGTCAAAGTGAACAAACGCAAACAACGCTCGGGACAGGTGATGAAAAATCCTGAAGTATCACTTTAAGTTAATGTACTGTAAATAGCTCTTAAAGTGACAGCAGCCTATTCCTAAAATTGAATGTAAAATGTAATAAAATCAACAAAAGAAAAAGAAGAAGAACTTGCAGCTCTTTACTGAATAACTTTTGTAAATTTAATGAGGATTAACCTAGATGTTTCATGGCTGGTAAAAAAATATTTAGAGCCAGTAATTTTTCCTGTCACTGGCCATTGGCCAAGTTTAAGTACTCAGTAATATTAATGAACTATACTTACTTTAGGGTTAGGTTTAGGATAAGGGTTTTATTTAGAGATAGCTGTATGTAATAATGCATCATTTACTGTCATTACACTGTTAAGTACATGCAACGTGTAACAAGCACACAGTAAAATAAAGTGTTACCTAACGTAAATGCATAAACAAGCAGACGTGTGATTTCAGTATATATTTTTAAAAGTAAAAAAAAAAAAAAACTATTAAGATTAAGCTTAAACTATTTCAGCTTTGCACATCTTAAAAATTCAACGCATATGGTGGGAGATGTGACTAGACAACCAAATACGTCTGTTTGATGCACATTCATAGAACAACATTTAAAAAGCACAGATGGGATGCAAGAACAAATCCTTTATGAAAACCCCTAAAAAACACTTACAAAGAACATAAAGTAGGAAAATACATTTAATGGTAAAATAAACAGGCAATAAATGCAAATGCTAGCTAATGACGAGCAGAACGAGTCTCCTTTATATCTCCCTATGAAAAAGAGCCACATAATAGGACGTTATTTTACTTGCCAACCGGTTGCAAAGGCTCTAGGGAGGAATTTCGTCTGACAGAAATGACTGCTGATTTGAGCATTAAAAGACCATTAGAGCGGATGTGCCAGAACTGATGAATTTCTCTCAAGAAAAACACCAAATTTATCTCATGTCAGGATTTGAGAATGATCATTAGTCATGTAGCTGCTTTTACTAGCGCATGAGTGTGTGTCGCATTGTGTTGCGGTAATTACAAATATGTACCACGTATGTGTGTAAACGTGGTTTGTAACAGGATAATGACTTGCCCAAGGAATATCAACATGTGTGTCCAATGAAATGCAATAATTAATTGTATGTGTCATTTCGGGCTTCACTTGGATGGCTATGTTTATACCGAAGACATCATTTAGCAGATGTTATGCCAAGCTTATCTGATTTTGTGCACACAGACATGGGCATTAATGAGAACAACTGTAACAAACGGTGTGAAAACATTGCTTTAATCAACCGAGAGGTGTCTACTGACCACAGCAGCAATATATAGTATGTAGTTTTGAGCCGGGACAGTGGGGGTGATGTCCGTAGGGAGGGCCGGTCACTCAGATGTATCGAGCAGCAGAAATGCATCATGCTGCCCTTCAGCTCTGACAGAAAGTCTGGCAGGGGTCAGCATGAGCAGAAAGCCCTAATGTACTTGCCTGTAACCTCTGACCCCATTAGCACCTGTCAATCAAACCCCTGCATCTCAAAATGGCCCTCTAGAAAGCTAAAAGTGTGATTTAAGGAATGAGGTCAGACTCAAAAGCTTTGAGAAGAAAGGAGCAGGACGTTTAATATACCATGCGGGAAGCCCAATAACGCTTCATTTTCTTTCAATAGCCAGCATTCTCTGTATAGGTGTGAGCCATAACCTAAAAGAGTATTTGAAATGTTCAAATTGAACATTGAATTTTTGAATTTTAGGGAAGGTATGATTGGAGACATACCACATGCTGAGAGGGTTATGCGAGTTTGCTTGTCTACTGTATATATAGGTGTTTCATCGTTTTAAATCGTGTTCTTGTGTGATAATATTGTATCATTACCATATGTGTCACGGGTGGGACATGTCCCCACCACTTTTTGCCAGGGTCGATTTTGTCCCCACCACTTTTGAAACATCTCGCGGCACAGATGTACCAATACAAATAAAACATCCAGTTAATAGCATTCGTTTCATTTGTTTGTTAAATAACAGGCGATCTAGCACTGAAACACGCGGAAACGCGCTTCAATCCTTCAATTCCTTCCGGTGAAATAAAAAAAAATAAAAAATTCTCACAAACGTGTCCCTGTTTCTCTTGGTTCTAATTCCGCTCTCGTATATATTTTTTTTCCCTCATCAAAACATATACAACCACTGATAATAAACATTGTATCAATTCAACCACTGATAAACATTATTGGTTTTGATGAGGGGAAAATAAAACTATACGAGTGCGGATTAGAACCCCGAACCTTCCGAGTCTCGACACGCTAGGCAAAAATTCTACCACTGGACCATCACTGCACATACACAAGAAAGGGCGTATATACTCTATATACTCACTATACGAACAACATATTAGTTCGAACAATTACACCCAAAGTACCAACACATTTTTGGTTGGACATCACATCTTTGTGCTCATTTTTATTTATGTACATCAGGAAGCTACAGGACATCGTCTTTCAAAACATGACCTACTCGAAAGAGAAAAAAGAATGAATGCATCATTGTACCCAGCACTTTTGAAAATGGCTTTCCGAGTACGTCTCTGTCCCAAGCACATTTCAAACCAAACTGACGCCCATGATCATTACTTTGGGCACATGTATCACTATTTTTGATGCGTGCATTTAAACAACATCATAATGTTCAAAGATAATTTCCAAGTCAAGAAACAGATTGTCTAAATCTACAGAAATAGTTTTCAAACTCTCTTGAGAATTTGCTGCTATATTAGTCAGGATCAATTTATGATATTGAGATACAGTAGAGATACATTTGAAATGTTAGCCTAACAGATCTGCACGTCTGCATAGATAACTCAAGTAAATATTTAAATACAAAGCTACATTCAATATTAAACTCTGTGAACAATTAACTTTGCTATTAAACTGCTATAAACTATAAGTGCTGCAGTTGTGTTCCAAAATTAATGTTTTTGTCATTTACCAGCTGAAAAAAATGTTCTTTAAGTTATTCCAATGATATCGCCGTCATTATTGATTAAGTTTTGACGTAGACTCTGCTGTTTTTAAGAGCTAATTTAGCCCTAGTTACAAATAGAGCCATTTTTTCACTTAATGGTTATAGTTATCATGATATAGTACTATTCTTTATGTGAATGGAATTTTAAACAGTTCTGCTAACATTTATTTACACTCATGCCATTCCAAATTCCATTCACACTTTCGTTTCATTCTATCAAATCTATCATTTGGACTATCTTATATTCACAAAACAAAGCAACTCAATTGCCAACCTCATTTATCAGGGTTTCCTACGCAAACAGGTTAGACAAAATTATAACAGAGATCATTAACAAAAACAGTGGTTTTCTAAAACCAATTTATAACATACAAAAGTATCAAATTTAAGATTTAAGATAGCTAAAGCATCAAGATGATCAGGTGCCAGCTGTAAAACTGAAGAGAGGTTGGTATTTCCAGTAAAAAGATTCAGCATGTACTGTAGGCTTGAACGTCTTTTCTACTTTACCATACGGCCTTTGTAAGAAACACTGGGTTTGAAAATGGAGCTTAAGGCACTACATAAACTATTGAATGTTAAATGTGTCTTCAAGTGCCAACCCAGGCACTGAAGAGACTACAAGCATTAACTCTTCATCATCCTGAAAGCTGACATAACCAGCAGCAGTTATGTCAAAACGGCTACTTTCATAAACGAGGCACTGCAAACAATTAACCGAACAGTGACAACTGATGGCTTGTTCCCTTGTTAATACACACAAAACATATTTTTAATGGGCACGCACAAGGTACATTAACACCCACCATGAAAAAAAAAAGAAAGAAAATGAAAACAAGAGCGAGTCTGTGATTCATTCTCCTCTCATTTTTAATGATTAGTTTGTGCCGTTTGAGTCACGGTTTGGTGCTGTTGCTAATTAAAGAACAAAAGCATTAATCTAGCGGCTGACTGATGATCTGATGAACATGTCACCGGTTTTATTTGCTCGTAGTGCCTGATCTCCTCACGCTGACCCTTGTCTAATGAATAACACGGATGGAGCTTGCAGTAATGGAACGGTGCCGAACAAAGAGACCGTGACAACCTTGATAGACCCGAAAGGGGAAGCAAACACACTGGAGGGTATGATGGGATACATACCACATGCTGAGAGGGTTATGAGAGTTTGCTTGTCTATATATAAGTGTTTCATCATTTTAACCAAGGCAAACATCACATTTCTGTCTTCTAAATGAAGACATCTGTTCCAATTACTAGTTCAAGCTGATGATGGTTATCAGGCTATGAGCAGCACGTTTCAAATGTACTTGTACATTACACTCAATGCAGCTCGGTTGTGCTTCAGCATTTAATATGTGGATGAGACGTACAATTGAATGAATAGCATTGTTTGGATTCGGGAAAAACAAAGCAGATGTGCTGAAAATCAAACCATAAGCACAAAAAATATGGATCACAAAGTAATATGAAATACACTGACATGGTGTTACCATGTTTTTGGACATTCTACCCTGATGTTCTTTGTAATACCTTTGGGGTACAATCCAAATACCAAAGTACATGAAAATAGTAAACATTAAAGAGATGATTCACCCACAAACCGCTGTTGTTCAAAACGCATTAGACTTTCATTCGTTCATCTTCAAAATAAAAATGATAGATGAGATGAAATCTGTCCCTCCATTAAACACAGCACCAAAACTTTCAA